TGTCATGAATGTGGTGCAGATGGCTGGGAATGACTGGCATGGGGAGGTAGGTAAGGCTATCACACACTCATTCAGGCACTATGTGGGATGCTGGATGGGTGGTTCAAGGCCAGCTTGAACCTGCTCGAATCTGCTGTCTGCATGAATGGACGGCCAGGATGAGTGCCTGGTGGACGGCTAGGACCTCTGCACATGAACCTTGCTGGCGCTGTTGCTTCGTACCCGCTCCACCCTCCATCTCATCGTCTCCCCTCTCTCTCCTATTCCGTCTTCGCCCCTTGCCCGCCCTGCTCCCCCGTGCACCAGGCCCGGCTCTAAAGAAGTTACAGGACGAGATGGGGGTGGTGCTGCGCTTTGCAGTGGGCCACAGGTGTGCACTGGGCTTATGCATGGTGCACAAGGGGGAGGGGGGGGTGGGGGTGCACTGGGTATTACTGGGTAGTGGGGGGGGGGCGGGGGGGGGGGCACTGGGTATGACTGGGCGGTTGTGGGGTGGGGGTGCATGCGAGGCATGGCAGAGGTGGGTCAACGTGTCAGCCATGCAATGCTGTGCTGGTGTGTCCTCGGTGACGCATTTCATGCCTCCATCACCTGCGTTAGCAGTCCTAGGCTCTAGGCCCTTCCACCCTGCTGCGTCCCTCTAGCCCCTCTACATCCGACTACCCTTCTCTAGGCCTGCTGGCCCAATCTGCTCCTATTCTCCAGTTTTACCCCCATCTCCCCTGAAACGAGCTTGCATAGCCACTTCTCCTCCCTCTCATTTCTCCCCCCCACTCTTAACACCCCCTACTCGGACAAACTCTGCCCACCTCTGCGCAACTCCGCCCAACTGTGGTTCGTTTCAGCTTGAACCGCGGTGACTCGTTGGACCGACAATGCTGGAGGAGAGGGATAATACAATGACATCGTCATCATGGTGAGGAACGGGCTTTATTTTGGTTAGGAGCAGGGCGTTATGATGGTGAGGAGAGGGGAGTCATCATGGTAGGGGCTGTGGCGGGTGACCGGTGGAGTGGGGGAGCTGGAAGGCGAAAGGCATGTCTTTTATCTGTTTGCTTGCTTGATTGCGTGCAGGGGTCTATGTTCCGAACATGCTATTGAGAAGCATGTGTTACTTGTAAGGTGTAACATGTTCCACGCTTGTAACTTGTTGCATGTTGTCTCGTGCAACATTGTGGTGCGTGGGCGGGCAGGACGAGTACGAGGAGGTGGAGAAGAGTGGGGGGCGCAAGGTGAAGCACCTGTTTGAATACGCGGTGAAGCACTGGGACGCCGACTTCTACTTCAAAGTCAACGACGACGTCTACCTCAGCACCAGTGAGACGCACTCCACCGCTCTGCCCTCCCACTCTCTGCCCTTCCCTGCTCTCCCATGCCCTCTGATCCTACCCCTCCCGACTTCTCCTCCCTTCCCTTCCTTCCCTAACCCAGTTTACCCCCTCTTCCCCCCTTCACCCTCCCACCCCCTTCCCCCCATCTCCCCCCTCCCCCTCCCCGCCCGTTCCCCCTCCTCTCCATACCCCACCTCCTCCCCCCTTCCCCCGCCCTCCGAGAGCAGTGCAGCTGGTGTCGTTCCTGCAGCGCCTCAAGGACCGCCCGGGCTCTACATGGGGTGCTTCAAGTCCGGGGTCGTCGTCACAGAGCCGTGAGTGGGGTTGGGGGGGTGAGGGGGATGGCGGGCAGAGCCGTGTTTTTTGGGGGGCTTGCAGGGTGTGGTGGGCATGGTGTGCATGGGTGGGATGGGTGAATGGCAAGGATGAGTGGGAGGAGGTTGAGGAGAAGCGGGGGTGGTGCTGAGGGGTGTTGTTGTTGCGTTATGGTTACACGTTGTGCTGACGTTAAGGGCATATACAGTAAGAGATCCAACTTTCTCTACTGCAATGCTCGATTCCTACGCGTTTTGAGAATCACTCTCCGCTTTCTCCTCCTCCTACTTTTGTGCCTTTGTCTCTCCCGCTCGCTGCCCCTCCTCTCTCTCTACTCCACTGCCATCTCCCGTATCCCCTCCCATTCTTCCCTCCACCTCCTCCCCCTCCTACGCGCAGCAATCAGCAGTGGTTTGAGCCAGAGTGGGCACGTTTTGGCGATGGAAAACAGCTAAGATTGCTCTCTACCCTCCTCCCCCTCTTGCCATGAAACCCCCACTACCATGAATCCATGCATGCACCCTGCACTCGTGCCCATGCGCCCCTGCTGCAACTCTATGCCTTGTGCTCTTTCAAGTACTCCGCATGCCTGCTCACTGCCCTGCTTAGCTCTTGACCACCAGCCATTTTCGACCACCAAGCTTCAATCCACGCCCACCCTTAGAACTGCCTTACTGTGATGGTGATGATGCATGTGCTGGATCAACCATGGGTCATATGCCGGTGCTGCTGCTCCTGCTGCTTCTTTCCCTGCCTTCTGTGCTTGCGAATCCGCTAGTCCTACCTCTCTCATGGCCAAGCATCCTTGAATCTGCACTCTGTGGTTCCCCGCATTGCTTCCACTGTGCTGCTTTCGCACTGTCTCCTCTCATCTCGCACTGCCTCCTTCATCTCGCACTGCCTCCCGGCATTGCCCTCTGAATACTCTGCCGTGCACCATCTTTCATGCAGGTACTTCCAGCATGCAGCAGCGCCGGTCTATGGCCTCTCTCGTGACCTCGCCCTTTTCCTTGCCTTCAACGGGTCAGCCATGCTCCTCTCTTCCCCCCCTGCTCCCCCTCCCCCCTCCCCCTCGCTGCTTCTTCTTCCCTTTCGTCCCTCTTCCAGCTTGTCATTGTAGTCGTGCCACCGCCCTCCTTTTTCCTCACCCACTATTTCATGCCCGTTTTACATCTCTACACCTCTCCTCCCGTTGCTAGCACCGCCCTGCTCTCTCCCTACTTGCTGTCGCCCCTCCAGTAGTCTGTTAATTATATGTGTCTCTTCCCATCGTCCCACATCCTTCCAACGTCCCTTTTTTGCCGTCCTTAGCCTCTGCTTCAAAGTCCTCATCTTTCCTCTGCTCTCCTCATGCCCCTCTCCCCCACACCCCCTCCCCGCCCTCCTCCATCCCCTCTCCCCCGCGCCCTCCCCACTTTCACTGCATGCACGGTTACCCCATGGCCAGCCCGCTGCTGCACGAGTACTCCAATGAGGACATCTCAGTGGGGTCGTGGATGCTCGGGCTGACCGCCACCCACCACAACGACCACCGCTCTGCGTGTGCTAGCCCTCCTGAAGGTCTGACTCCGCCCTCAGCCCTACTCCTCTCCTATCTCTCTCCTCTCCCGTCTCTCCCGTCTCTCACCCAGACTCTCACACATGCTCCCTTTTCACATGCTTGCAACTTGTCCCAGTTTTCCTAGTTGTAATGTGGTTGCATGTGAGGAAACCAAGCAGACACATCTTCAGACACATTTTTTCCCATATCTTCTGGTACATTTTCGGAGATATCTTCAGACACCGTCCTCGTTGCAGAGTTCTCAACCGACTGCCCTTACCCTATCGCCTCCCTTGCCCACCCTGCTTTCCCAATGCTCTCTTGGGCATCTGCTTGTGTAGAGGACTGTGGGCGGAGGAGGGAGGAGAACAAGGGTTGTGTGGCAGTGTCTGATTGGCGCTGTGGGGGGCTGTGTGAGGCAGTGAAGCGGATGAACGAGGTGCACCACCAGTGTGCCTGACTGAGGTACACTACAAGAGCCAGCACTAGTCTTGAGCTGATTCTCAGTATAAGCAGCTTGTGTGTGAATCTATAGCAGTGCAGGATAGATTTGACATGAACAGTAAGCTCAGCTCAAATTCTGTTGGTAGCTCATCGGTGATTATTCCATACCCATGGCATCTGACAAGATTCAGAGATTACTAACTTTATCAAGGACACCTTGTCAGGACAGAGTACATGCATTGCAACAATGCAAAACATATCTGCAGCACATTACTGAATCTATGAAGTGATGCACACACCTAGCCTAAATAAGGTATGCCTAATTACAATGTCAATGTCCTACGTCTCCTCATGCCTTGCAGGCACTGCCATGATTTATTGAGGCGTGCACGGCTGCATGCTAGCTCATATGCAGGCCACATCTAATCTGTTTCCCTGATCATTGCCGGCTTGATGGGACAGGGATTGCGGGAGGAGGAGCAGGGGTGCGTGGCTGTCTGTGGACTGATGCTGAGCAGGGATGCATGGAGCTGGGAAGAGAATGGGGAAGCGGTGCAGCACGGGTGCGCTGATGGCACTTCAATGCCTTATCACGGAAATCGTCTGAGATGAGTCATTGTCATGGTCATCTGAAAGACAGACTGGTGAATCTATCGAAATTATGCGAACAAGTTGAGTGGGGCTGTCGAACTGTACCGGTGCTGTAGTTCCAACGGGGGGTTGAAACTGGACTGTGATGGAGCATGAAGCAGATGAGCGACAAGGAGCGACAAGGAGCGACAAGGAGCGAAGGCAGAGGAGAATGAGTCCAGAATCCTTTGACAGGTGGAGCGGATGATTGTGGGAAGCGAGTTTCGCTGGCAGACCGAGGTTATAAGTGGTGTTGACGTTTAAGATGCCGTAGGAGGATCTTGAAGCAATGCTTCCTGCTCCTCGCGCATCTTAGCTCGCACATAGGAGAGGCACGGCCGGCATGTCACCTCGATGGTGCACCAGCCCACGCCGATGGCGGCGACGACAGCGATGACGGACACTAGCACAGAACCCATAAGGACGTGCAGTCAGCCTATCAACCAGCAAAGACTAACTGAGAGTGTGTGAGGAAACTGGCGTAAGCCCCGACTTGCTAGAAGCAAGCAGTAAACAAATACCTAATCTCACACCATGAAGATTTTACTGTGGAAATAGCAGGGCGGCAGAGGACCAACTTCTGTGTTTCATTTCATGCTTCTCGCACATTCCTCAAATCAACCAACAAGCGAACCAACTTGGCTGGAACACCCCAAACCAGTCTCAGCGGTACGGAAAGCCAGGGTCCTTTCAGCGAAATGTGCCACAATGTGCACAAGCGAGAGCTGCTTCCTGATTCGGATGCCCAAGTGGCGGCTATTATCGAATCAGGAACATCCGAGATGTAGGCTCATCGATTCGTCCATTGGCCTGCCGAACCGGCTTCAGCCAATTACGGAGTCGTGCCTGGAGCGATGGTGGGGCCAAAAGCTCCTCGCTCCCTGGCGGCAGGGCATGGTGGCAGACAGCGAGGCAAAAGGCAACTTTCGCAGCACGACTCCGACAGATCCTGCAGGAAATCCGAGTCCTAGTACTTCGCATCTTTCGATGTTTCCACCGAGTATGGAAACATCAGTGGGCGATGAAGAATGACTTTGCCCGACAAGCAGGGAGGCTGATGACGGGCAGTGGAATGGTGGTGAAATTGTGACTAGACTTTGAATGCGACCCATATTTGTGATCTTGCCACGCCAATAACGCGAGCCAATGGGAGTCCGTGAAGATTCCCTTCTGGAATGGACGAGATGACCTCGATACACGCTACAAGCATGTCCCTTCCTCGTCCAAAACCTCAACTGGGATGGCAGGTTGAGGCATAAATACATACACCCAGAAAGGTAAACAAGAGAAAGCATATAATCGATATAGGCACACTTGCCGTTTCCTCTCGCCTTTGTCGTGGCACGACAACTGCATTTGAGGTGCTTTGCGCTTCCGCCACTTCCATCACTGCAGCCCCACCTTCCCCCCTCAACCCATATTTCTCCGCAACATACAGTACACCCGCGCGCTCGCCTCTCCCATGAACTCCGCCGTTTCCAGTCACCCGCTCACCTCTTCCTCCCTCCCCTCATCACCTCAAACAGCGCATTTCTGCCCTTAGCCCCTAGCCTCCCCCGCCTGCCCTCCCCGCCCGCCTTCCTCCGCGGCTCCCCTTCTCCTCCCCTCCCGCCTCCCGTTCGCCCTGGCTAGGTCAGGCATTTGCCCTCCCTGATCCATCACCCACATTTTAGATATATTTGCTGCTAGAGACCAGGGATTTTCTAGGAGCCTACTGCACCACCTCTGCTGCCAGCGATCTCCTGGTTCCGCAGTCCATCTCCCGCCGTTAACGTCTCGCTTTAAACAAGGAAGCAGGGCCGGGCTATCGTGCATAGTAGGGCCATGGCGACTGATGGCAGCGCGGGACCCCGCCACACAGCGAGCACGATCACCTGTTTAAGCTGCTGCTTGTCGGTGATCAGGCGTGGGCAAGAGTTGCTTGCTCTTAAGATTTACTACCGACACGTTCGACGACCTTTCCCCAACCATTGGTAGGTGCCGTTTGTCACCGCACTACATCTCTTCGGCTGATGCTTGTCGATGTGTGCTGGTGGCTCTTCCGACACTCGTGCTGTCGTCTCAGTCTAAATACGCCTCCGTTAATCAATACCTCTCGCCTTCATTTTTCCCTTACCTATTGTTTTCCGTAGTGTCGTCGGCTGCATTTTTAGCGCGAGTGAAAACATCTATTTCGTATTTGCAGCTTCCTTCGATCTTAACCGTTGCAAGCGTACAATGTCATTTATAACTGTCGTTGCGCCTTTTTTCGTATGCCAATTTTTGGCCTCAATGCCGTCAGTTGTATCTCTCAGATCGTTTCATAATCTGTTCCGTGGTTGATGACGGTTCCTGTCATCCCTTTCCTGGACTTTCTTCGTTCGATTCCCCAGGTGTGGATTTCAAGCTTAAATCAGTGACCGTCAATGGCAAGCGATCAAGCTAACAATATGGGATACAGTGATCGGCAAGTTGCGAGGAGGGATGGACAATTTGCCTCCCGATCATGTCACCTGATTCCTCACCACTAATTATTTTGTGCATCTTATGTTACACACGTGCACGTTCATGCGAACGTTCTTCAGGTAATGCTCACTCCCGCCTCCCTTGTTTGCTTCTCACTTTCTCTCTGATTCCTGATCCGTCACTCTCCTCATTCTCTCCACCCGTTTCGCCATCAGCCGGTCAGGAGCGATTCCGTACGCTCACGAGCTCGTACTATCGTGGGCTCAGGGGATCATTCTGGGTGAGACTGAGGTTGCTTTTTTTAAGCAACTTTATTCTGTTTTTATTTTCCACTTGGCGTTAGCGGGCTGATGAGCAGCAACGCGCAGCCGATCGTGCTTTGCGGGCGAAACATGTGTTGGAATGTAGGGGAATCGTGAGCGGCGGCGGTAGTGGCATTGTGATGAAGAGGGCGCGCTTAGGGGCCTGTGCGTCTGTGCGATTGCAGCATGATAAGGGAGCATATCAGACGACGTTTTGAATGGTGGATTCCGCTGTCATAAATATGCTCTTTTAGTGGTATTTGAAGCTGTCGTCTCTGGCCTGTTACTACCTGTTTATTGCCAGCCAAACAGTTTTTATCCGCCCTTCTCGGCTCTCTCCGCCTTCAAACCCTCCCCGTCCTGTGCCTCCGCTTTCGTCTCCTCGGCTTTTCTCCTTACACTCTCTCCGCGTCTACTGTAAGTCCCCTCTCCCCCTCCCCCCGCCGCTATTCTCCCTCCCACGTCCGTGCCTGCGTGCCGGCATGCAGTGTACGACGTGACGCGGCGAGACACGTTCACGAACCTGTCGGACGTGTGGCTGAAGGAGATCGACATGTACTCCACTGTCTCGGACTGCGTGCTCATGCTCGTCGGCACAAGGTCGATAAGGTACCTGCCTAACTGTCATGCTCCTCCTTCCTCCCTCTCTCCCCCCCCCCCCCCCCCGCTTCATTTTCTTCACCCCTATCCGCCCCTCCCCGCCCCCTCCCCCCTCTTTCCCCTCTTCCCCCTCATTCCTCCCCGCGCACCTCGCACATGCTGCTGCCTTTGCCTCACTCGAATCATTCCTACATTGCATGCTTTCTGCGCTCACGCATTCCACCCATACCGCATGCATTCCATGCATGAGATCACACGTTCCGCTTCCCTCCCTCAAGTTAACACCTGCTCTCCTACTATCCCACTCCCGCTCCCTCTCCATCTGATCCCTTGTCTCCTTGGTGTCTCCCTGGTCTCCCTTCTCGTCCTCACCATCCTCTCCTCCTCCTCATGGCAGGAGTCGGAGCGGCAAGTGGCCAAGGAGGAGGCATAGCGTTGCGCGCAGTACGGCTCACTCTTCTCGAGTGCTCCGCCAAAGACGCGCCTCAACGTGCAACAGTGCTTCTCCGAACTAGTGCAGAAGGTAATGATAACACAAGGTGGCTAACATAAGCGCCGCCCCTCCTGCAGCACCCGTCTCTCTGACGCTCTGTCTGAACAGACCTTACAGCACAGCTGTTTAGAGCGAATAATGCTGTGTCTGAACCCACCCTCTCCCGTCCCCTTCCTGCTCGTTCCTCCTGCATTGTCCGTGTATCTGTCGTTGCCTCCATCAACTGTCCATCTTCCTTCACTACCCTGCACTTCCCCCATCTTCTATGTGCCGGCACGCCCACTCATTCCTCTCCAATCCTCTTCCCTCCTCCCACTGTCGTGTGTCCAGATATAAGACGCCCTCCCTGGTGCCCACAACACGCATGCCACCAAGTGCTGCCACTTGCAAGCAGAGTCTAACCCTTCACTGACCCCAGTGGCAGCTGTGCATGCTGATTACGCCAGCTGCAGTCACCACAAACCATCGTTCTCACCACAATACTGCTTGTACTGCCATGCTTACCCTCTGCTCTGTTTATCCCCTCTCCACCTCCCTCTGCTGCTTCTGCTCAGCGGGCACTTCCTGTTTCTATGCCCGTTAGTCAATTTCCTGGTGTTACGTATTGTTTCAAAGGAAATTGTAGTGGAGATTGTGTTGTATTAGCTCCTATCGCTCAACAGGTCTGCTCGATTTTTTTTGGCACCACTAGGTGCAAGTGCATTATACGCTCATATGCCTCGTGCATTATATGTTGAAGTGCATTTGCAACAAGAACCTTGCTTATACATTGTTAGAATGTCTTTTGCATTACTCTCACAACTGGCAGAGGATACACCACGCCGCTCTATATCCCAAAAAAAAAAACTTCACATTGGTTCCATCTGCAGTCATGAAACTACAGGAATACTTCAATTCACTTCTACAAGAAAGAGTGTCTTGACCATGTATTCAAAGCTTTCATTGCAGCACCCTCCGTCATATCTGTGCCATCCACTGAAGTACCATCCACTGTTGCACCCGCCACTGTAGCAACCTCCACTGCAGCACCCTCACTGCAGCACCCTCCAATGTCATCCATGCCACCTACATGGCCTGGCACAAGTGGCAATGCCGTCTATGCCCACTTGCATGGACCAGCACCAGTGGCAGTACCATCCATGCCACCCCGCATGGCCTGGCACGAGTGACAAGCCATCATGCCACCCAGCATGCCTGGCATCCCCCATGCAGTTAGCAAGGGCCAACCGTCAGTGTTGCTGGTCTTAGGACCTCCGGGTGCCCTTCCAAGGGACTGGTTCTGCCCTTCCCACCCCCACCAGTGACACCACTGCTGGCTAGCCAATGGTGCACCGACAGAACCAGTCCGTCGGCCTGGTTTCAAATTCTCAGCGAACACCAAGGTTCCCCCACACTCGTGCATGGCCACCCCACATGGCACATGCCACATGCCCCCCTTCCACTCGCACGCCAAGCCACCATGCCTCCACCAGCCCACCTCTACTCCCATGGGTGCCTGGGGAGGAGGAAGACGAGAGCCAGAGGTCAGTGAGGCCAGCAATGGAAGGAAGGAAGGAACTGATTGCAAACTAAAGGCTCAAGATTGCAGAAAGCAGGGCGGCTCAAGACTGGAAAGCTGGCTAGAGGAATTTACCTTGGATGGCTTTGGCACTTCGACTCGGGTGTGAGACTGGCGGATCAACTGGGACTTGGGCTTGAACTTGGTGCCTGAGCGCTTAAGCCCGGACCTGCACAGGGGGCAGAAAACCATGGTGAGAAGAAAGTCACTGAGTGCAGGGCAGAAACGGTCAAAGACCAGCAGCAGCACAGGCAGAGGCAGAGAGGCGGTACTCACAGGTGGTTGGGGGCGGGGGTACCCCTACCAGTGCTGTCGGCAGGCACGTTCACCCAAGCTTGGAGCACAGTACAGCGGCTGCTGAATAGCGCAGAGGCTTGCAGACTTGCAGAAGAGCACAGCGGCTTAGGAAAAGTGCCTGCCAACCAGAGGGCCCGGAGGGGGGGAAAGGAGACTAGGGAGAGTGACTACAAATCACACGAACATGGTCGATGAAGAGAGCATACGAAGGGCGGTGTGAGCATGCTATGGGCTTACCACGACTCCACCAGAGCAAGTACCAAGAGAGGAGGGACCTGAACTCACCAGAGGCACCTGAGCACCTGAGGGGCGACCTGAACCTTTCCCAACCAGACCAGAGGGGTGGCTCAAGTGGGGTGTCAGACAGTATGGTGGATGGATAACATGGAGAATAGAAATCTGGATGATAACGGGAAAGCGGATTCAAGGAGGGTGGCGCGGACTTATCTGGTCATCACGTATGGCAGCACTGGAGGCATAGCACGTTGAAGGCATGGCGCTGAAGGCTTGGCGCAGAAGCAAGTGTGCCGGGTATTGAAGAAGTGTGGGGCATGCAGGGCTTGGATTGAAGGGAGAGTACTCTAGCAGGCAATGGGGCGTCAAGAGCGCACAAGGCCTTGGCGCTCCCATGCATCTTGGGCGCGCACATGGCATACCAGGGGACCTGCCATGAGGAGAAAGAAACCAACTCAGTACATGTTGGCGACGATAACAAATCGACTTGCAAAGCGAAAGGGGACAAGGGTCACAACGCCACAAGAGTCGTACCATGAAAGTACTTTACGGGGTTACCTGGACGACAACAAAACGACTGTGCAAAGCGAGAGACCTCTTCGACTCATGGAGCTGCTCGTGTGGTGCCAGCCCGCTGACAGTAATCCTTAGCGCCGCCATAAAGCTTGAAAGTGCAGAAGGGCGTTCAACAGAACCTGCCAAGAGGAGCAAGAAGGGAGGTTAGTAAACGACCGTGCAAGGATAAAGCGACTTGCAGCGCGACGGACCTCTTCGAGCCATGGAGCTGCTCCTGTGCTGCAGCCCGCTGACAGTAATCCTTAGAGCGCCGCCATATAACTTGAAAGTGCAGAAGGGCGTGCAAGGGAACCTGCCAAGAGGAGCAAGAAGGGAGGTTAGTAAAACGACCGTGCAAGTAAAAACGACATTGCAAAGCGACAGACCTCTTGGAGTCATGGAGCTGCTCCCGTGGTGCCAGCCTGCTGACAGTAATCCTTAGCGCCACCATTAAACTTGAGATGGCAGAAGGGCGTTCAAGGGAACCTGCCAAGATGAACAAGAAGGTCGGTTAGTGACTGGTAGTATAACGAAGTAACAAACGAATTTGCAAAGCGACGAGTTGAGAAGGCGAGAGGGTCTGAACTCCACAAGAGCCGGACCAAGAAAATACCTTACCAGGGACCTGAACCGAACCTGTACCAGTACCAACCTCAACCAGGGGGGGAAGGCTCTTGTGGAGTGTGTAGGCTAATCGGTGATACTCGCAACCTTTACCTCTTCGAGTCATGGAGCTGCTCCTGTGGTGCCAGCCCGCTGACAGTAATCCTTATAGCGCCGCCATGTAACTTGAATGTGCATAAGGGCGTTCAAGCGAACCTGCCAAGAGGAGCAAGAAGGGAGGTTAGTAAAACGACCGTGCAAGTAAAAACGACCTTGCAAAGCGACAGACCTCTTGGAGTCATGGAGCTGCTCCTGTGGTGCCAGCCCACTGACAGTAAACCTTAGTGCCACCATTAAACTTGAGATGGAAGAAGAGCGTTCAAGGGAACCTGCCAAGATGAATAAGAAGGTCAGTTAGTGACTGGTAGTATAACGAAGTAAAGAACGTATTTGCAAACCGACAGAGGGAGAGGGGATGGAAGGGGGGGGAGGTCGCATCCAGCCCAAGGCACCAGCTCCTCGAAGTTGAGACTGAAAGCTATGCAGACATGCGGACGGACTGACTGACAGACAGCGACTAGCGACACGTAAGAGAGGGTTAACCCGACTTAGGGATGAGAGACTAGGAACCCCGAGGGTGGGCCTTAGGCTGGAGCGACGAGGAGCGAGTTGCATGATGCAGGAAAATTCGAAGCATTGACGGATGAAGGTTTGAGTACTTAGCTCTGCGAAATATTGAGCAGCAGTGGAGCTCGAGCAGGATCGCAGGCTTGATCAAGGGACGATGATGGCAGCAGGCACGGATGGAGGTGGTCGTATCAGTGATAACAATGGTCGCCACGGAAGTCGTCCTGCACATCAGACTGAATCAAGCATTTAGTCAGAAACATGGCTACGAGGAAAGACGTTTCAGTGCTGCGACACACGTGAAAAAAATGTTATAAACTTGAGTGGGTTACCTTCCATCGGAATGGCTCGTCGACGAGTATATGATAATATATCTTGGATCTTAAAATTCGACGCCAGCAATTGCATATCCTGATTATTAGATCTTCGGACTTCAAAGCTGGACAGCGATTGCACATGTTGGATTCACCTGAAAACCTATATACACGAAAACAAACGTCAGAATCGCGTTTGCCAAAAAAAAAAACAAAGATAGAATCGAAACGTGTTGAATTGACGCTTTCTTACTTGCACAGGACCGAAAAAGGTGAGTCATGGCTCGTGAGTCTGTTGCAGATTCAAGCGTGAAGGGAAGCGACTGCAATGGGTTGTCAATGGATGCGAAGACTTGCTTGACGCTCAGATGTCGAGGACGAGAATCTTGGTTGCATATCTTGCCAATCCACCTGAAAGCAAAAGAAGGAAGGTTCCGAAATTAGTGAATCACGAACCGCCGCACGAGCTGTCGAAATTAAAGAACGGAATAGTAGTAAGCGTCTCTTACTTGACAGCAGCAACAGGCGTTTGTCGTCAACGCTACATGACTGAACGGAAGCTTCAACCGTGAACAGAAGTGCGCACAGCAGCAGCAGCAGCGTCAGGTACGGTTCTCGGACAGGTTGAGGAGAAGCACCGCTGAAAATGAGCGTTCAAGTGGACTAGCGGAACCAGAAATCGGAAACTGGTTTAAAATGTGAGGGCAGGAGTGGTGAGGTAGCCAAACGAGAGTGGGGAGGAGGACCAAACGCCGTGACGATGAAAGGCGGAAGCGCGATCCGTATTGGAAAAGGGTAAACGGCGGGATAAAGAGCGGCGAAGCGTCGCTAAGATATTAATCTTTGGGATGAAATTGGGTGAGGGCAGAACGGCCAGTAAACGCGGCTGCGAATGCGGCTTGTACAGGAGGCTTTGTTTGGGCTGCCAGAGTGGCTTGCCTGATATGCGTGTAAAATGAAGAGAATGAGCAGCATAAATTCTGGGCTTGCTCGAGTATGGCGCCGAGAAGCGGAGCTGGTTGTGTCAGGAGTTGCGGTGGTGAAAGACTGGTTGGGCGAACAGACGAACTGTCGCATTCTCGTTTCGATATGTTTCGTCAACTCGCGATTCTCGTCATTCCCTGTGGAAAGATTGTGATTGGAGGACAGCTCACGGCTGCGCGCTTCCGCGTGCGCGCGACGGTGCGGCGGAGTGGTGACTGGCTATGAAGGTAAGGTTAGGTACGGTGCTGCAGAGTGGGGTGTGCTAATTTGTTGTGCACGCTGAACTAGCAGTGATGTCAGCGGGAACATGCAAGCAATCCCAGTGTTTTGTGGGTTGCATCTTACCTCGTTTTAGCTTTTTGTAAATGGCAGAACACGGCTGTATTCTCAATCATATGTCGACTTAACTAACAAGCAATTATCTATCATATTTTCAAAACTTAAGCAACAAGTCAAAACGCCTCGCTGTTGCTTCCATCAATAGTCATAAAAGCTGTAGTCGTCGACATTGTCATAGTCATCGTCATACATCTCACCCTCCCAACCACGGCGCCCCTTCCATCTGGATTCAAAACCCCCTTTGGCATTGTCACTGTATTTGCCTCCACCACCACCTCCACCGCCACCGCCACCTCCAGCGGCAGCACTTTTGCCAGTGGCATTTGCCCCAGAAGCACCAGTGTGTCGCGATGCATTGCTCTGATTGCGCCGACTGCTCCCACCACCTTGTGCCCGGTCAGTCCAGTGAGGCTGTTGCTGCTGCTGCTGGTTGGGCCGAGAGGTGGAGTGCGCTTCATGGTTGCTTCGCCTTGGCTTATCACCAGTCCCCCCTCCACGGCTCGAACCACCGGTGCGATTCCCAGCTCCCGAGTAATCCTGACGAGTAGAAAGGTCGACACCACCACGACGGCAAAGGCGTCCGATTAAGAGGCGCAAGGAAATGGGAACGGGAAACACACAGCGTACAATGAAGAGGAACAAGGAACCGGCGATGAGAAACACAAGAAAGAGATGCGGTGGCGCCAAAGGGGTGCGATTTAAGCATGGAAGCCTGCCAAAGATGCGACCAAATGACTCACGTGGCGGCGCTCCCATGTGCTCTCGTTGGCCCATCGGCTCCTGTGGGTGCTGCTGCGCCCGCCACCATATCCAAACGACGTCGCAAAGAACTCGTCTGCTGCTGCAGCAGCCGTTGCGGATGCTGCTGCTGACGAGTAGTGAGGGCGCATCTTGCGCAGCCGCTCCTCTGCATCGTACTCACCCCTCTGGAAGAGCACAGCAGAAGGGAAAACCAATGCATAAGGGTTCCGAATGAAAGCACGCAGACAGGAAAACGCCACCTAGAGCAAACCATCCTAAGGGGTTGTAGGGTGGAGAAAGGGGGACGGGAATGGGGGACGGGGCAAGTGAAAGGGGGAATGTGCAGAATGGGGGAGGGAGGGCACCTTGATTTCGTCCGAGAGCACGTTGTACGCGTGGCCAATGGCCTTGAACAGCCGGTCCGCATCGCGCTGTATCTCCTCCCCCAGCTCCCTGCTAAGCCACCCGTCTGCATCGCCCCTTCCCGGAAACAACAGCTGCGCAGCCTGCAGAGCGCACGTGGGCAGGAGCGAGGGGGGGAGGAAGCAGTGAAATTGGACGAATGGCGGCGAGCAGCCCCGCACAGGAAGTAGAAATGCAGCGGGCGAGAAAGAGAAGAGCCTGTTCAGCAGGAGGCAGGGTGCATGGTGAGCAACGAGGGAGGCAGAGCAAGAGCGGTCCACGGACAGAACCAATGGTGACAGGGTGCATGGTGCCGCCCATAGTACCTTGTCTGGGTGGTGCCTCAGGGCTGCCTTGCGGTATGCCTTCTTGACGTCTGCTGCCGTGCATGCCTGCTCCATGCCACTGCCACGCCCCGCACATGAGAAGGACAGAGCTTAAGAAAGAGAGCCGACAATGACACTGCAAGGATACTGATAGAGACGGACCAGGGGCAGACACTAACCCACATGGACTAACAGAAAGTCGTGGTAAGCCCATAAACACGAGCACGAGAAGTCGTGGTAAGCCCATAAACACGAGCACGAGAAGTTGTGGTAAGCCCATAAACACGAGCACGAGAAGTTGTGGTAAGCCCAGAAACACGAGCACGAGAAGTTGTGGTAAGCCCACAAACACGAGCACGAGAAGTTGTGGTAAGCCCATAAACACGAGCACGAGAAGTCGTGGCAAGCCCATTAACACGAGCACGAGAAGTTGTGGTAAGCCCATAAACACGAGCACGAGAAGTTGTGGTAAGCCCATAAACACAAGCACGAGAAGTTGTGGTAAGCCCATAAACACGAGCACGAGAAGTTGTGGTAAGCCCACAAACACGAGCACGAGAAGTCGTGGCAAGCCCATTAACACGAGCACGAGAAGTTGTGGCAAGCCCATAAACACGAGCACGAGAAGTTGTGGTAAGCCCATAAACACGAGCACGAGAAGTTGTGGTAAGCCCATAAACACGAGCACGAGAAGTCGTGGTAAGCCCATAAACACGAGCACGAGAAGTCGTGGTAAGCCCATAAACACGAGCACGAGAAGTTGTGGTAAGCCCATAAACACGAGCACCATGGTCATTGGATGATAAGTGGCCAAGAGAAGCGTACAGCATGAGGTAGTGGTCGGGCTGGTGCGCCTGCTGCACCTCCTTCTGCACGCGCCCTACGCGCTCCTTCACCTGCCTCTCGTCCACCACACTGCCTGCCCCACCACTAGCACCACCCCCGCTCTTCCCGCTGCTGCCCTTCCCCCCCGTGCTGCTCCCCTTGCCGTGCGTGAGCAGCAGCAGGCGGTTGAGATCCGCCAGGGAGTGCTCGTACTCCCGCACACTCTCCCACAACGTGGCGCGCCGCGAGATGGCCTGGGGACGGGAGCATCAGGCCGGTGGCAGGCAGAGAGGGAAGGCGGGCAGGGGGTGTGAGAGCGAGAGTGTGAGAGCAAAAGGGGAGTGTTGAGTTGATTGACAGGTCACCAAAGCACAGGGGGGAGACGACAAGAGCGTGCGCGTGCTCGAGTGGGGATGGGGAAGAGAGGAAGAGATGGGGGAAGAGAAGATGGGATTGCATGCTAAAACAATCGCAAAAGCTAACCAGACACACACATGCACGCACACACCTTGGCATAAGACGGGTCGAGTGCAATGGCTCTGCTGCAGTCCGCAATGGCATCGGCAATGTTCCCAGCAGCGTGGCTGGCAGCAGCGCGGTTGCAGAAGCAGACAGCTGAGAAGGGGCGCGAGGCGGCGAGCGTGGGCATGGTGATGGTGATGGCTGCGGTGTACCGCTCCACTGCCTCCTCATGCCGCCCCGCCTGAAACGCCTCGTTGCCCGCTGCCTGTGGGACGGAAGGGGGCGAGAGAGGAGTGGGGAGAGGAGAAGAGGCGGGAAGGGGTGAAGAGAGGAGAGAAGCGCGCGGCATGGCGATGGTTATGGCTGACGTGTACCACTCCATTGCCTCCTCGTGCCGCCCCGCCTGGAACGCCTCGTTGCCAGCTGCCTGTGGCATGGGGAGTGAGGAGAGATGGCGAGGGGCGAGGGAGGAGACTGAGAGGAGTGGGGCGAGGAGGAAAGGGACAGAGAGAGATCCGAGCAATGCAGGAAATGCCGCAGGCTGATGGCTGGCGTTCCATGAATGGGAGTACAGCACACAAGCCATGTGGATCATATGAGCATGCGGTTGCCACGATCCCTACAGACAAGGCGGTGAGCAGCGGGAAAGCAAGGGTGAGCAGCGGGCAAGCAAGGGGCGAGCAAGAGGCGAGCAGAGCACGGCGTGAGCAAGAGGCGAGCACGGGGCGAACAACGGCGAACA